GGGTCAGGAAGGCAGGCGGCCGTGTTTGCTGTCATTGAGCCCTGGGGATGTGTACATGCTTGTGCCCCTGTAGGGGTGGTGATAGGCTGTCATTGCCTTGACTCACTGACAGGTGCCTCTCATGAGCGGAGGTGGTAAAGAGCTGCAGGGCTGAGCAGCTCAGTTACTGTCCTCTGGCTGGAAAGCATGCCCCTGAAAGCATTTCTAGCACTCCGGCCTGTTCACAGCAGCAATTTAAAGTGCTGTGGCAACTGTTGATCTGTCCAGGACTCTTACCTGTGATTTCTTTTATCAACCCTGTTAGTAGAGTTAGCATGACCCTAATCTTCATTCCTCTGCAACAATGTACAGGATGAATACAGTGGTACTTGGCAGCTGCACAGTTTCCTTTCCCTAGGCATAACTTACATAATTAACTCTCACAAATAGCACTTTTTCCTGATAAAATTAGAAATGCAGTGACCAAAAAGTATTGTTAATACAGAGTTAAAATTGCCTGATGGGGTGTTGTCTTACAAAGACATTAACCAAGTACATTTGCAGATCAGTGGCTGGATATGTCCATACCTTACAGTCTGTCTCTGCCTTTAACCTGTATTGGATAAGAGCTTTGTAGACCTGTCCTAAAGTCAGACATGTGACCTGCCTTTCCAGAAGGAACTTCATATCTGTTAAATCTCACAACTTATTTTCTCTTATGCATGCAATATCGTGCAACTCAGGGGTGTGCAGTTATTTCAGTTGGAGGGCCACTTAAATTTTGGTGAGGTGTCAAGGGCCACAAGGGTAGCCCCGCCCCTTGACAGGTACCCCACCCCCTGGTCACCTTCTTATGACAGAAGTCCCACCCCCTGACCTTTGCCACTGGAAGTCTCTCTCCTTGCCCAGGAAGTACGCCTTTTAGGAGGTGGTGGGGAGGGAGAGTTGCTTGTATATTGTGTGGAGGCTTGGGGGAGTGCGTGATTGGTGTTTGTTGGGGGTGTGTGGCTGAGGTGGAATGTGTGGGACTGTTGGGGGAGTGTGTGTCTGTGGAGGGGTGTGGGATGTATGGTTGGGGTATATGGGACAGTGTTGGATGTGTGTGGTTATGGTGGAGTGATGAGGTGCTTAGGAGAGTGTGGAGGTTGGGGGTTGTGTGTATGGTGGGGTGTGTGGCTGGGGTGCGAGGGACATTGGGGGGGTGTGGTTATGATGGGGGGTGCATGTGCGGGGTGTGGGTAGGTTGGGTGCCCACATGTGGGGCTTCCTCCCTGCCTGCTCCTTTGACATAGCTGAGCCCAGCTCTTCTGTAGGAACGGGGAGGGGGATCAGCGCTGCCAGCTTGGCTCACAGCACACTGCAAAGGGCAGGACAGCAGCTTCCACAGACAGGCAGCAAGAGAAGCCCCTAGGATGGGAGAGGGGCAGGGAGCTGTGCCTGGTGCTGCTGGCTCTCTTGGTCTGTCTCACACCTGCCCAGTGGGGCTGCAGCTGAACCTACACTGACTCCTGCTGCTGCTTCCATCCCATGTGCCTGCCTAGTGGGGCCACACCAAATGCATGCTGGCTTTTGCTGCTGCTCCCACCCCACCTGTCTGTCCCAGGCCTGCCTGGTGGGGCTTTGTGAGCAGCCAAGCTCCTTCATGCCCCCACTCCACCCACACATTCCCTTGCCCAGCTATGCATGAGCAGAACCAAAGTGAACTGCAGGCAGAGCCCACCCCACTCCTGTCAGTGCTGTAGCTTCCCCTCACTACCTTCTGCCCAGATCGCTGAGGCAGAGACAGAATTAGGAGTTGCTGGAGGCTGAGGGAGCCCCCAGCAGTTCCCTGGGCAGCTGCAGTAGTGGTAGCAACAGCCCTGCCCCTGAAGCTGTGCCTACTGGCTGGGGTTGGCAGCCCTGGCAGGGGAGGCTGGGAGCGCAGCATATGCTGCCCCAGATGATCATGGGTGGGACTTGGCCCCATGCATAGCACAGCAGGGGCAGTCACTGGTGAGGCTGGATACAATCAATTGGTGGGTGCTTGCCCGCAGGCCGGATCCAGTCAGCTGGCAGGCTGGATCTGGCCTGCAGACTGAATTTTGTCCACCCTGATCTAACTCCATACTTCCCAGTTACGTCTTAAGCTACCTCATCTCACAATTCACTGCTGTAATTGCACAGGCAAGAATACCCTGCACTTGGCTGCTGACACAATATGCAGAAGACAGTTAAAGCAAAGGAAATGGATTTAAGGTTTGAGCTATTTCTTTTGAGGAGATAGGAGTTGGAGAGGGAGCCTGTTAGACTGCTCCAATGAAACTGTAGCAGGGTGGCCTCCTCAGGTTTTTGCCATCTGCATTGCTTCTGGGGTAACAGACTGCTTTGCTCTCCTGCCACACCTTGATGGAAAAATATGAGAGGTGTTACAAAGGCAAGAGGCTATCCATTACTCACCCTGCTGACAAGGGCTTAATACCTGCTCTGACCTCCCCTCCCATGGGTCCCATGCCTTGCAGATGTTTCTCTGATATTACTGCTCTGGCCTGTGGCCAGAGCAAACTGGGCGCACAATTATAGCTCTTTCCACAGCCCCGGAGAGCCACTTGCATGCTACCCCTCTCTCACCAGGGATCCGCTCACTCCGCTGGCTCTCATCCATCCTCTTTCATACTGCCCTCTCTCAGGGGCCACACTCATGCTGCCCGGCCTCACCTGGCTTCAGGCTTAGCTCTCCTTGCCTTGGTCAGCCCTGGCACAGTCTGTTTAATATCTCCTGCTAGCCTAACCTGATCGTTGCCTGAGCGATTGTACGACTGTAGGCCTATTTTGCTCCTAGCCCGTTGCCGGGCCGCTATACCCCCACTGGGCATCCTCACTCACCCTCACACAGGATCCCTTCTCCAGCCTGAGCTCTGCCTCAGGGCTCGTGAACTGAGCCCTGGGCTCCCCTGCTCGCTAGAACACCACCAGGGATGTGGGGCTGGGGTTAAGTGCCCTGACCTGCCTTTCACCTGGCAGGTAACTGGCCTGGCATTTTCTGGCGGCTCCCATTCCACTAGGAGCCCCACCAAACCACCCTTCCCTAATGGGTGCAGTTTTACATCTTACCCAGGACAAGGGGTCACCTCCTCCCCATAGTCCCTGCCAATGGCAACACGTAGGGGGTACATGGGGGTGCACATGCACCCTCTGAGAGTGCTAGTACACCCCCCGACAAGCTGTGCTGGCTGCTTAGGCAATGGGCAGGGGAGGTCAGGCGGGAGTGCCAGTGCCTCCCCCCTGTGAGTGGTGGCTGGGGAGTGGGAGTGGGATCAGCTGTGAGGGGACCCTCCCTGGTCAGCAAGATTGGCCATGGTGGGGCATGTGCCCCCTGCCCCAGCTAAGGAGGCACCAGGAGGCACCAGTTGCCTCCTTCCTTCCTGCAGCAAACTGCAGCCCAGGTTATATCCCTGGGCCAAAATGGCTACCCTCATCAGGCACCTGGCTGCTGCCTGTTTGCTGTGCTTAAAGTGG